GGGGCGGATGTTCTCTAATGAGCCCCGCGGCTCGTGCCAGGCGTTCCCGCCCACGCCGGGCGCTGAGCATGGTTCGCCCCGTTGGTTCGCCGGCCGGGGTGTGCTTGTGGTGGTGGCTTGGTGCCCTGCCCATCCCAGCCCTTCCCCCACCTCCACTCGACGAGGAGAGAAACGTCGCCGTCGCCACATCTCTTCGCCCTCACTTTAAAATATGTAGCATCCAATTCAGTCTAGAGATGAAATAGTCACTACACCGAGACCTCTAGAACCCTGGTTGTTTAGTGATGGGAGTCTCTCATCTGCACGAAATTACGCACTGAACTTTTAAAATCGTCAACAACGGTCTCTGCAAATCTCAGCTTAAGGGACGAGTAAACGCCGACGACCACTGTACTTTATGTGGCGTCAAGCGTTGGTTAAGGGAGACCCCCCCTTCCCCCTTCCCTCTTTCCGTAAACCTAACCAACTGTCCGTTCTCAGCCCTTTCCCTCGTGCACCAGCACCGCGTAGACGGCCAAGTCGACTTCGACCAGAAAATGACAGGGCTGACGTCTGAGTGGGGCTCTTACGCTGGGCGTGCACCGTGCGCTTGCCTACAATTCAGGCGCGCGCGTCATCGATTTTGCGCGGTCCGCGCGCGGGCCCCGGGCCGGCGCCCGCCGTCGAGCGCACGTTGACGTGTTGACTGATGACTCGGGCACCAATGAAATTAAGCCCCTGCTGCCCTGCTCGCGGCCAAAGATATCGGCGCGAGTGTGACTCCACACGGCCAAACGAGGCGTGAGATCGACCGGCCACCGCGCTCGCCAGCAGCAGCACGGGGGGCCGAACCGGGCCCAGCCGGGGCGAGCCGGGGCGCACTGGGCCAAGGTGAAGGGGCTCTAAAACAGGAACGGGAAAAGAGAAGGACTTTCGCCCAGATCGCCGAGGCTATAATGCCTCTATAGATCGCGCCGTGCTGCGGTCGCTAAAGCCGCGGTCCCCCCGGGGGGGCCATGCTCTCATTGAGAGAGATAGGAGCGATACTCGTGGAATCATAATAATAAGAGTGGATTGTGTAGCACTAGAATGGCCAATTCTTATCGTTGATTGATGAAATACATTGATGAGACATCAGTCATGAAGTGGGCCAAACTTCAATTATTATTTTTTTCGGGGGGGG